CTTTTCTCTCTCCCTCACTCCCTCATTCATTCATTCCTCATTACATGTAAGAACTCACCTGTACAGCATCAGTACTAGTCCCAGCCTGCTCCCCCCCAGTACCAGCAGTGTTGGTGACCCAGGGGTGCTTTTTCTGCATGTGAGCCTGGAAGTTTCCCTTCTGCGTGTCTACTCCTTTTTTCACTCCCTCATTCACTCATTCCTTCTTTCTATACAACTCACCTGTACAGCATCAGTACTAGTACCAGCAGTGTTGGTAACCCAGGGGTGTTTTTTCTGCATATGTGCCTGGAAGTTGCCCTTCTGCATGTCCACTTATCCTTTTTTCACTCCCTCATTCACTCATTCCTTCTTTCTACATAACAACTCACCTGTACAGCATCAGTACTAGTCCCAGCCTGTTCCCCCCCTGTACCAGCAGTGTTGGTGACCCAGGGGTGTTTTTTCTGCATGTGAGCCTGGAAGTTTCCCTTCTGCGTGTCTACTCCTCCTTTTTTCACTCCCTCATTCACTCATTCCTTCTTTCTATACAACTCACCTGTACAGCCTCAGTACTAGTACCAGCAGTGTTGGTTACCCAGGGGTGTTTTTTCTGCATATGTGCCTGGAAGTTGCCCTTCTGTATGTCAACTCATCCTTTTTTCACTCCCTCATTCACCCATTCCTTCTTTCTGTAACAACAACTCACCTGCACAGCCTCTGTACTTGTTCCAGCCTGCTCCCCCCCTGTACCAGCAGTGTTGGTGACCCAGGGGTGTTTTTTCTGCATGTGTGCCTGGAAGTTGCCCTTCTGCTTGTACACTCTTCCTCCTCTCTCACTCATTCATTCATTCCTTCTTTCTACATAACAACTCACCTGCACAGCATCAGTACTAGTCCCAGCCTGCTCCCCCCCTGTACCAGCAGTGTTGGTAACCCAGGGGTGTTTTTTCTGCATGTGAGCCTGGAAGTTGCCCTTCTGCTTGTACACTCTTCCTTTTCTCTCTCCCTCACTCCCTCATTCATTCATTCCTCATTACATGTAAGAACTCACCTGTACAGCATCAGTACTAGTCCCAGCCTGTTCCCCCCCTGTACCAGCAGTGTTGGTGACCCAGGGGTGCTTTTTCTGCATGTGAGCCTGGAAGTTTCCCTTCTGTGTGGCAGTGTACAGGCAGTACTGACACTTGAATGGCCTCTCGCCTGTATGCTGCAGCATGTGCTGCTGCAGGCAGTCGTTGAACGGGG